ACTAGCTAGTATAATTATCCATTACTCTGTATCTTTTTCCCCCAGGACAGAATCTATTCTATGTATGCCTATTTTCATCCGAGGATCAATAATTGGAGTAGTCCAAATGGTGAATAAGCATACTGGAACTTTCAACTCCGAAGATGAGGAAGCTTTTGAAATGTTTGCTGTATATTGTGGGCTGGCCCTTCATCATGCAAAATTATACGACAAAATCAAAAGATCAGAACAAAATATAGAGTTGCTTTGGAGGTTCTAAGTTACCACAACACGTGCACAGAAGACGAATTTAATAAAGCAATAGGCAGGGTAAAATGCAGTTACTACTAACACGTTTTTTTAACCAGTTCAGATGAAATTTAAGATATATATCAAAGATGATAGTATGATAATTTATTTTATTTCCCAGGAATTCCAGAATACGTCCCCGATTTAGACGACTACTACTTCGACCCCTTCAAAGTGGATGATTATCAGAAGGCTATAAATGCAATGTCAATGTTTATTGATATTTTTGGTTTGAATCGATTTGAGCTGAACAGTCTTATAAGATTCACTCTGACCGTAAAGAAAAATTATAGGAGGGTTCCGTACCATAATTGGACGCACGGATTTTCTGTTGCCAATACGATGTATTGCATAATTAAACATTCGCGGAATGTCTTTAGGCCAAATGAGGTAAGATATGATGATCTATAGGAAAAATTGAAAATGTCTACACAAGAAATGTAGTTTTAGACAGAAATTTCCAAAAATTTTTGATATTCTTTAACTTCGACTTTTTCAAATTCTCTTGGCAAATCTTGCAAATTATTGGTGCGTTATTTAAATTCATTGACAATTTTGTCTTATCACAAAATAAGTATATCTTCATTTTTTAGTGTCTGGCTATGTACATTGGTGCACTCTGCCACGATTTGGATCACAGAGGCAAAAACAACAAATTCATGATGGAAATGGAATCACCTTTAGCCGCTATTTACAGTACATCAACCATGGAACATCATCATTTCAATCAGACTGTCACGATATTACAACAGGTACTAACAACTCAATTGTTTTGCCAAAAATAGTCCTTTATCCTTATCAATTTTCCCTTCCAGGAAGGCCACAACATTTTTGCCAAACTGACCAGTGGCGAATACAAATACGTTCTGAGTCATCTAAAACATTGCATTTTGGCGACGGATCTTGCTCTATTTTTCCCAAATCGGGAAAGATTAAGCATGCTTTTGGCAGAAGACAACTTTTCCTGGAATATGCCAGAACATAGAATGTTGGTTCATGCTTTATGTATGACTGGGAGCGATTTGTCCGCCAGTGCCAAACCTTGGGACATCCAGGCGGAAACTGTTAAAGTTATATTTGAAGAATTTTATCAACAAGGTAAGGACCAATGAAAATTTACGGTTTAGAATATTTTTAAAAATAATCATAAATATATAATTAAATATATATAGATAAATAAATAATTAAAGTATGTGATCAGGTGTTATGTGTTTGATAGGAGCTTAACGTGACTACCTGATATTAGCTGTCAATTTAATTTCAATCAATTGAAAGTATACATCTTAAATATAATTTTAAGTGAAAATAACCTTTTAGGCGATTGCTGCATATATCATATTACGATCTTGACACTTATTATATAATCGAATTCGGCCAGCTCGATATCAAGCAGTAGTGATATTAGTTTTTACTTGAAATAATTCATCTAAAATATAATATCATTCTTATATATAAAAATAAATCACAAAATGTGTTGGTAAGTGCATAACTCAACAAAGCCTGGACCAATTTGGCCAATTCTTTTTTTAAAATGTTCGTTGAAGTCCAAGGATGGTTCTTACGGCGAAAAAATCGAATAATTGCCGGGAAAACCCTAAAATCAGCTCTTTTCTTTTTTCACATACAAACGTTCTTGAACTAAAACGTAGAATCAATTTGAGCTTTATTACTATTCTTTGAAGCTCATATTAAATTAAAAGCACTCACTGTATTCTTTTCCTAAACTATTATTCGGATTTTGATAAATCTTTCTGAAGTTTGTAAAGGATATTTTCTAGGATGTATGTGATTATAAAGTAATGGGATGTATATTTAATATTGTAGAAATAAATTATTTCTGAATATGAATAAGAAAAATGAAATGCCTACATTATTATTGCCAAAAAAGCTGAGATGTGCCAGAAATTAAAATAATATTAAATACAGTATATGTATGGCCCTTTCTACCTTGAATGCGATGCATGCGAAAAATACAAGCGCACGCCTTAGGGGACGCCAAAATAAGATTCGGATATTAAATTTTCAATATCGTTTTTTTTTTTCAATATATAATTTCTTTGCATCTTTTACTAATCTTTCCACAATATTTTTAAAATTCCTAAAAATTTCTAACAATAAATGGGAAAGTAAAGATGAATACATACAATTGCCCATATTATAAATGTATATTATTTTTGGCGCGAATAGTAATTTAAAAAAGAATAATTATTATTTTTAGATAAACGGTAAATATTAGTATATTATATTAAAAAATTGTATACGTGAGTACAGGACAACATCTGTCGGGTCATCTAGTTAAAAATAAACTTTCAGAGCATTTTTTTATTCATATCACGATTTTAACACCTAATTTTCAATCAACTTTAGTCAGCTTTATTTCGAGCAGTACTGATGTATCAATTTTCACTTGAAATTATACATCTAGAATATAATTTTATTATAAATAGCCTCCAGAGCGTTCAGAAATATATCATATCACGATCTTAACACTTATTATCTAATCAACTTCTGCCAGCTTGATATCTAGTAGTTCTTATATATGCGTATTTACTTATCTAAAATATAAATTCAATTGAGAAAAGTTTTCCAGAGCATTCTACATTATATCCTATCACAATATTAAGACTTATTCTTTTTTGGCCAGCTTTGACTAGCTAGATATCAAGCAATAGTGAAATAATAGTTTTTACTTGAAATTATTCATCTAAAATATAATTTCGGTTGAAAATAGGTTTTCAGAGCATTATTTCTAAAAAAAAATCTAATGATAGTCCCCTCTAATAATGTAAAACGATTAATTGGAGTTGCATAAAAATAGCATATAAAATCAGGATATGTATCCTCAAGTTTCAGTATTTGAAATTATTTATAATATATATATATATATAATATATATATATAATTATATATATATATAATATATATTTATTATTATATATCATAATATATATATTTATATATATATATATATAAATTATATTTTTTTATATTTTTTATTAGGTTAGTCATAGATATTATCATGGCTCTAAATCACATTGAATTTAAGGAGGTATTTTGAAAAATAGATTAATAATTATGCAATTGATAAAAGTTTTATTAATAATATTTCTACAGTAGTGGCAATGTTTTGATATACTGAAAAATTATTGAATTTTTTATAATTAAATAACTAATTTATAAAATAATAAGGCAGAACTTGAATGAAGAGATTTTGTCAATAAATATTGTTAATGATAAGATCAAAATATTATGCCTTGAGCTTCTCGAATTCAAGAAATTCATTCAAAATTTACTTCTGACTTGTATGTTACGATTTAATGATTTTTGCAAAACCCTTGAAATTATCACAATTATAATACGATTTTTATTGTACAAGTCTAATGAACTAATAATTAGTAAATAACAAAGCGATTGATGAACCATTGCAAAGTGTATCTGAATCTAGAATATGTTAAAAGATCAAAAGTCCAAATTCAGATGTCCATCAGTCTACTTGGAAACGATGATACATATTTATATTTGATTTGTTTCAAAGTCTTAACACTGAATAATTATTGATATCATTAATTACAAGAATTTATTTTTCCGTGTTTTTTTAATAAATATATATATATTTTTATAACTGGTATTAATCTATTTTAATTTGGTATCAATATGTCCATTTCCAGGTGATGCCGAAAGGGCAGCAGGTCGCCAGCCGATGTCTATGATGGATCGGGAGCTACCTGAAGAACAACCTGGGTCTCAGGTAGGTTTCCTGACAGGAATCTGCATACCTTGTTACAGCATTTTGGCCAGATTGATTCCGGAAACTAAACCATTGTTGACACAATGTCAAAAGAATCTAAATCGGTGGCAGGAACTCACTGAGGATGCTAAGGCACAAAAGGCTGAAAAATTTAAAAATTCGGATGAGAAATGATAGAGGATAATGCAAATATGGTGAGTTTGGGAATTTTATGTAAGAAAATTATTTTGGATTATATATTTTTTTAAATCTTATTGATTTTAATAGATAAAAACAAGTAGCAAGATGAACCTGAAGGAACTATACAAAATGGTGTATTATAAAATTTATCTTTTGTTATTAATTTTATATTTTTGCTAAGATATAAAAAAATATGAAATGCATTTTAAAATCGAAACAAATTAGATTTGAATGCAAAGATACATAAAAGTGTCTTCAGAACATTATTTTTTATCAGAGTACTATTTTTTTGATAAATTAGTAATATTTATTGTGTATAATTATTTAAATTATTTTTATATTTGCAATCAAAACAGTTTAAACACTAAAGCTATATTTTTGGAAATTGTTTTGTTCCAGAAAATATAAATGTTATAGTAATGCTATGTTCCGGGCATATATTCGTATGAGTTGGTAGTAACAGACTGTCAAAAAGCTATGTATTTGCTGTTCGATAAGGCCTTTTGCATATAAATTCTAACTTCACATATGTGTTATCCACAAGTTGCACTTCTGATAAAATTGTTATTAGGTGCGCTTACGTTTTGAAGGTTAGGTTTTATGTGTAGAACATCTGATCCCACAGCGAATAAATAGTTTTTTGACAGTTTGTGAATACCAACTCATACTGATATAGACCAGAAAAATAGCATTATCATAATAAATTTATTTTATCTGAGATTTGGCCCTTGAATTTAACCAATTGCTGATGTTTTCCTACCACGTGATTTTTTTGTAAAGTTTTTGAAGTAACATGAAAGATATTGGAATTTTTTAATTTTTGATTGGTTAGACCAGCCAAAAAGTTGGATTAACCATCATTTTTTGCCCTTAGGTATAGCCTAACTATTGGCTTAAAAATTGTCTCAAATTAACCGATTACTGAAAAGAGATAATATTTTTCTCTTGAAGTGAACGATGAAAACGTTCAACCTTTCAATTTGTTTTTCTTTATCTTTTGGGCAAATATATTTTTCTTCAACTCTTCCTCTGAGATTTTTTTGTAAAAATAATTTCGGAAAAATTTAGAAAACAAATAGTAATCTTTATTTTTTGGCCTTATTGGACCAATCTTTGTCTTCTAAAATACATTTATCTATATGGCCATCAGTAATTTTCTTAAATCAAATTAAGATTGTGAAAGATCAGAAAGTTATTGACCAACTTGATTTTGTTGCAAAATTTTGCTACTTGTAGACTGGTAAAAAGGGAGGACAACTAAAAAACTAGGACTAGAAATGTCCTGTATCTGTTCTGATCAAAATAAATATTTAACTATATATTACCAACATCAAAAATTTTGGTTACCAAACGACCAAAACTAATCGACCAAGTCCTATATTCTTAATAAAAGCGTCCTAATAAAAGTATTTAAAATTAGATTTATTACTACTAATAAATTATATTAATATTAATTATTAAGTGGAGAAATACGATGTGAAGAGAATCTAGTTTTGTATTTTGTCTGATTGGAATATTTATTATATAATTGTATAGTAGATTTATAGAGCATTATTTTTTCATGTTGTATTATTAATAATTGGCAAAGTTTAATGAAACCAAAGTGAATAATTAAATAATTAAATATTAGTCTCTGTACTTTAACGTAAAATAAATATAAAAAATATTAACTAAAAATAATGAATAAAATAATTTCTTTATCGTAAAAATTTATTCTAGCCTTATGCAATGCAAGATATATGTATATACAAGTTTATTATATTTTTCAATATATATATTTATAAAGTATCTAAATGTCGATAAAACTTTGAACTTTGAAAAATTCAGATCAATATTTATTTAATGCATCAATGCAAATTTATATATAAATAAATAAATAATAATAAATAATTTATTTATCATAAATTAAATAAGAAATATTATATTTTGTTGTAAATTATTATTAAATTCTGAGATAAAAACAATGAAATATGGGGCACTTTTTTATTTAAAAAATATATTTTGTGGTAAATAAATTTTGCAATTACATTTAATAAATATTAACATTATCTTGTTCAATAAATCTTTATTAGTAAATGTAACTGGTAACTTTATTTTATTATTTATTACAAAAAATTTTAAAATGTATTTATATATAAAAATTGTATATGAAAACCTTTATGCATAAAGCATTCGCTCTGTTAGAAAGCAAGAATATATAATTTTATAAATATTAGATTTTTTAGACATGTTATTTATTAAAATATTAGTATATTTATTGAAATTTTGAAGTAAAACGTGACTTCATATTTGATTGTTTTTTTCCTACATAATAACTGTAAATTGAATTAAAGACATATGCTACAAAAAAGCATCTTCAAAGTAAAAAAATAATTTGCTTCTAGAAATATAATTACTTACTTAATTTCTTTTACATATTTTTCATATTTTTTCTTCTGCTGTACATTTACAAAAATTGACCATTTTATCTGCTCCGATTTCTATTTTTAAAAAATGTATTATATTTTTTATAAACTATCGAAAAATAAGTTCTCAGATTTTTTACATGAACTATCAGTTATTATTCGACATATTTCTTTTATTAAAAAGTAGCATGCGTATTTTGTTCACAAATGTTATAAAAAGATGTATTGATTAAATCTAATACTGAACTGTATGTAAATTTGTTGTGATAAATTTTAAATGTAATTTTAAAATAAATGAAATATATTTAATAAATTGTTAAACCTCATTTAGACAATTTTCATTTTCTAATGAAATTAAATTTTAAGTTTCTAACAATACGGTATATTGTGGGTATTTTATTTGATTTTTTATTAATTACAATGCTTAAACTTCAGCAAAATTGGCAATGTATTATTTTACTAAATTTAAAAAAAGTTTTTGTAAATTTATAAAGGATTAATTCGTGGATTTATGTTTAAATTTACAATATATAAATTCAACTTCAAACATATTTTATAAAGTTATAATATATATAATTATTTTTTTAATTATTGAATGTTTCTTCAAAAATTTCATGAACTAGCTATTAATAGAATTTTGAATTCAGTATGCAAAGTAGTGTGGTGTTGGGATCATTTCGTTTGTTCATACTTTTTTTACATTTTGAAAAAATATATAGATATATTGATAGAGTAATATTAAGTATAACTTTATATTATATTAACTTTATATTATATTAACTTTATATTATATTACATTAACTTTATATATATTTGCAGAAAAGCGATTTTTGACCATTGATATTTAGAATTTATAACAGAGGCTCGACCAATACAAATAATTGATAAATTTTAAAGGCCATTGATCTAGTATATAACGATTAAATAAATACAGACGAAATTTATCACAAAATTCGTTCGATTTTTCGTAGAATTCCATTGTATGCATAAAATTTATTATCGTGGGAATGAAGAACATAATTTGTTTGAGAATTTCTAAACAATCACTCAACAATTTTATAGAAACTACAAAATACACATTCAAGTTTAAATTAAACACATTTACAAAGTGTGAAACATGGCATATTAAATCAGTGTATTATTATATATTTTTCTAATATTTTTTATCGTATAATTTTTTTATTGCAATTTACGAGTATAACAGTTGCTGTCGGATTTTAACAAATTATAATAAATTCTTTTAGTATATAATAATGAATATATTTATATAATAATCGAATAGTTTACAAAGTTTTGAAGGATACTTAAAAGTAAAAAAAATAGTACAAACGAGTCAATTATTATTAACGAGTTTTTTTATATTATTTTTAACGTACCAGAACTCATTTTAATCAAGAAAATTTTAATAATGATAAACTTAATAAGTAAATATTTGGGTGGATTATAAATTTATATAGTCTAAATAAATTATGATAGAAGATTAAAAATAGTAGTGCATATAATGCACTTGGACTTAAGGTCTTATCGTGCCTTAAGTCCATTTGCTGGAACTTTCTGTATCAAAAATTAAAATTTATAAAAAAGCTTCAAAATTCTTTGACAACTTTGAAAAAACCAGATTTCTAAATTAATTTTTGAAAAAAAAATGACATTATTAAACTTTGACTTCTTTTAAAATATAGAATTTTTTTTATATTTAGATTTTTTGAAAATTTCGAACTTCTATTAAAACAATCGGTCAGAGAAATATAAAAAGAGTTGTTTTATTTTAGCTTTTTTCTATAATAGTAATATTGTATTTTAGCATTTTAGCAAATCTTATTAGGCAATTTATATAATTTTATAATTACTACCTGTGCATTTTGGTAATAATATTGCAAGTTTTAGAATATAGCTTTCATAATTTTTAGGTACTCAGAACAATATTATCTACGGTAAGTATTTATACATATAGAATAGAAATTGTTACAACTAATAATTTTTATAATATTTTTTTTAGGAAGATGCAATTAGACCCAGAAATTTTGAGGTATACTGATTTATATATATATATATATATATATATATATGTACGTATGTATGTATGTATGTATGTATAATGCATATCTTTGCACTTTGTTAATCTATCCTGACTTACGCACATTTGTACAAATAATGCTGATAATTATTGTTAAAGTAAATACTTGCAACATTATACTTTTATCTATATATGTATTTTATTTTCTCATTTATATATAAAAGCAATATTGTTTAATCAAAATTTAGTTTGCAGATATCGAAGCAACGTTGCACTTGCAATATCATTTCTTGTTTTGTTTCTAATAGATCAAGATGAAAATTGTTACGAACGATTTTCCAAAATATCGCAAATATAAGTTTTTTTAATGATCTGGACTTTGTATTAAATAAAGTAAAATTTGTTTGCAAAGAAGTTTATTTGGACTGCACGCAATGTTCTGGAGTCATTGAAAAAAATGTAAGTTGAATTATTTTTATATGAACACGTTAATCGCTATGATGATATCAGAAACATTTTCACATTGACCATGGTAACTTTATTAGATAATTTAGTATCAAAAATAGATTTTTGACAACAATTCTGGAAAAACACTATTTTCTGTGTCACACATATATGACTGACATATATTTATTTTTATTCATTGGTTCTATATTAAATTTTTTATTGCTTCTACCAAATCTGCATTAGACTTCCCAC